CAACGCCCACAGCCACCTCTGTTGTGAATATTGTGGTCGTCCATCTATGTACTAACAAGGCTAATGCCTGCTCAGCCTAACGAGGTCCATTTAAAATAAATGTATAAACTCGGTACAGTACTTGAAGGTGAGAGCATTTTAATATATCACAATGAAACAACGTACCAATTGCGGTGCACCAAACGCAACGTTTTTGTTTAATGCTTTTAGCGAAACACTTGCTGCGTAAAGTGACATCACCGGTGAATGGCACAGACCCAAACAGGTGGGTCCAGACACCTGTCTGACGTGTGTATTGTCTATAACAATGGCTCATGGCCGTGCGCTTACCTGTTTGACGACAAGTAATATCCTTCCATAGATCACGCGAAGTGACTAATCCCTGGGAGAGTGACGGAGAGAGACCGCCGAGGGAAAGATAAAACGTACAGTACTCAAAGCACGGTCCTTCAGCATTTCTATTCAATGAGGAAGTCTGGTCCTGGTTTACACTACTGGCTTCTTCATCAGACCAGGGTTTTCAAATGTGTAATCCAAGTGTCAGCTCAAATTAAAATCTTAACAAACATTGCAAACGTATTAATATAAAAAAAGCATTAAAGAGGTGTATGGGTTAGATCGCGTAAACATCAATGTGTATTGGTCGAGAAAGCCTACGTGTTAAACGTAAATAAAACTATTTAACGTTCTAATCTATGTATGCATCGGTCTTCTCTAATCTCACTACTTCTCTATTATCTACGTTTCTCTTAGCTCATTCCATCTATAGCTCCTGTTTTTATCTCTTTTGGCATAGCACTAGGATTTTATAAATTGAAATGCAGGGCCAGCCCAATTTATTTTTTTAAACTTAGGGCTACCCAGTGGGTCGGCCACCCACCCACTGATGTCGTCAGGGTGTGTGGGCCAACATTTAGCAAAACAAACCCTCCACACTCTGTGTGGGTACGAGCCATCAAAGAACAACAACAACAACTCAACACCTCGATTGAGAGTGTGGCAGTGGCGACACGCAAACACTGCCACTCCTGTAACAACAATCAATGGCTGGATTGGGCTGGGGGGATGCAGGGTGGCGGTGACCATCTGCCCGTCAACGGGAGTTGGGGCAGGCAGCGGGTCAAATCATTGTTGGGCTCTCAGCGGCAAGAGGGAGCACCTGCCCCAGCCTCAGCGAGCCCCAGCTGCTGACCTTCCACCTCTCGCAGTCTGAAGCGTCGGCCGTCTTTGTGAACGAGCGGATGTGCATCCCCCCTTTTCTCGCCCGGCACTTTGGCTGCCGCTTCCAGCAGACGTTCGAGCATTCTCGCTGAGAGTTCAACAGCAATTCGACAGCCAAGCCGACTGAAAATGATGTAAATTTAATTGTATAGCACCACCGCTCCCGCCATCGTGGTTAGCCCGCAACTGGCCATCACGGTTAAGTATGGTCAAAGTACCCCCCCCCCCCAACCTGTTCCTATCTGGCGTGGAAAGGCCCTCACTGCTGATGAGAAGCAAAACGTTGATATAGGTTCGTAGAATTCTTTCTTTGCACAGTACTGCTGGGAATAGTATTTTTTCTGAAGGTCAATTGTATGATGGCCTAACAAAAACTGTTGCATTTTTACGTATAAATATAGACTATTTAGTATTTTCAAGCTAAGACCAAATCGCAAACTGTTCAAAAAAGTAAAAAGGGATTGGACAGGACACATTTTTCTATGAGCGATGATGGCCGATGCTTTGTAGAATAGCGGCAGAGCGGCAGCCAAGGATATGGCACTTGTCAGAGAGCACGTCCACCGAGGAGATGGAGCGATGAAAGCAGCTCGCGTGCCGCCTGCTGGGCGTATTAATGCAATGGCAGAATCGGAGGTGGCTTTGGGGGGAGGCCTTCTTGATGATACAATTGTAACAGTCCTCCATGGCGGTCCACACAACATCGGCATGCCCTACCCCATACACGCCGATGTCAATCCCTGAGTCGACCGGGAGTCACCCACGGAGGTGTGAACACAGAGGGGATCTGTGGATAATAACGAGGAGACAGGGATGAGAGGAGTGGGAGGGAATGGGAAAGGGGACCGTGGGGATAAGGGGGGGGGCATGGGCAGGAGTAAAGGAGAGAGAGACCTGTGGATGAAGAGGAGAGAGCTGTGGGTGAAGAGGAGAGAGCTGTGGGTGAAGAGGAGAGAGTTGTGGATGAAGGAGGGAGCCGTGGATGAAGGAGGGAGCTATGGATGAAGGAGTGAGCCGTGGATGAAGGAGGGAGCCGTGGATGAAGGAGGGAGCTATGGATGAAGGAGTGAGCCGTGGATGAAGGAGGGAGCCGTGGATGAAGAGGAGAGAGTTGTGGATGAAAGAGGGAGCTATGGATGAAGGAGAGAGCTGTGGATGAAGGAGAGAGCTGTGGATGAAGGAGAGAGCTGTGGATGAAGGAGGGACCTGTGAATGAAGGAGGGAGCTGTGGATGAAGGAGAGAGCTGTGGATGAAGGAGAGAGCTGTGGATGAAGGAGGGACCTGTGGATGAAGGAGAGAGCTGTGGATGAAGGAGAGAGCTGTGGATAAAGGAGAGAGCTGTGGATGAAGGAGGAAGCTGTGTGTGATGGAGAAGGTGGAAATAAAGGCCCAGAACCCAGACCTGTCTCCGCCTGTTGGTGAGGACAGTGTCCGCTAGACTACCATCCACAACAGCACGTGAGTTCTGTTTCCCGATACAGTTTCCGTACACAGCACATGTTGCTGCTGATGCAATACACAGGGCAGTGGAGTTTATTTCGGGAGGACTGGCTTGAGGCCACCCGCTTTCTCAGGGCGGGAAAGGAAAAACGAAACCTGTCAGACGGCATTTGCCTCGCGTTTAATGAAGCTCACTGGAGCCTGCAGTCTGATCACTCAGATGGATGCACCAGGCAAGCCACGGCAAGCCGGCGCACGTGACATTCGTCACTTAATGAGAGTTTCATTGCCGGCCGAACACGGGATGGGCTGGCTAATGGGGAAAGAGAAACACTTAAATATGCAAAGCGTGGCGATGACGAGGGCAAGCGTTGCAGAGAGCACGCTCACGGCTGCCAACACCACCGGTGACGATTATCTGAAGCGATCCCTGGGACTCCCCTCGGTCTACTCGGCCTCAAATGAGTACCTGGTGCGATGTTTAAACATCGCCACGAGGGAGACAAAGGCGGTCGGGCGTGGTGCTTGCCAACCACTCCCCTCGTGTATGCCGTGCCGACCTTCATAGGCGCTTGCTAACAGCACTTGCCCCAAGTCTGTTCAGGCTATAGGGGGATCTTTGGCTTGTGGGGAGCAGTAGTGTAGTGGTTAGCGCGCTGCACTACAAACCAGGCGCTGAGTTCGATTCCCGCTCACGGCCAACACCAGTGGCGATTATTTGAACCGGTCCCTGGGCCTCCTCTAGGCCGACTCGGCCTCAAATGAGTACCTGGTGCGATGTGTAAATATCGCCACTAGGGAGACAAAAGCGGCCGGGCGTGGTGCTGGCCACCCACTCCCTCGTGTGCCGTGCCGGCCTTCATAGGTGCTGCTCGCTAACAGCACTTGCCCCTACAGTCTGTTCAGGCTATAGGGGGGCGGGGGGGGGAGTCTTTGTTTAGTGTGGACGATGGACGATGGCCAAGAATGATGACAGTGGCAGCCAAGGGACAGACTGCGTCTGAGAAGGACGTCGACCGCAGGCAGCAGCGGTTTGATTCCCGGTCGTGGTTAAGCTCACGTCAGCGGTGAGTCTCACGTCAGCGGTGAGTCTCACGTCAGCGGTGAGTCTCATGTCAGCGGTGAGGCTCACGTCAGCGGTGAGTCTCAAGTCAGCGGTGAGTCTCACGTTAGCGGTGAGTCTCATGTCAGCGGTGAGTCTCACGTCAGCGGTGAGACTCACGTCAGCGGTGAGTCTTACGTCAGCGGTGAGTCTCACGTCAACGGTAAGTCTCATGTCAGCGGTGAGTCTCATGTCAGCGGTGAGTCTCAAGTCAGCGGTGAGTCTCAAGTCAGCGGTGAGTCTCATGTCAGCGGTGAGTCTCACGTCAGCGGTGAGTCTCACGTCAGCGGTGAGTCTCACGTCAGCGGTGAGACTCACGTCAGCGGTGAGACTCACGTCAGCGGTGAGTCTCACGTCAGCGGTGAGACCCACGTCCGCGGAGAGGCTCGGAGCTGCCGACTCTGCCGGTTTGACCCGGACACTGCGGGAATTGGCATCGGCGTTCGGGTGGCAGGAATTCATTTGAACCTGTGGGAATTGTGTTGAACTTTATTTACAGGATCATGTACAGGTTTGATATCAGAATCAAAATGTTTACGTATACTGGAGGAATCCGAAGAGACACAAAGCTGTTTTTCACAGATGTAGTTTTCACAGATGTCCAGATGTCTGGATAACAGACCTTTTGCCAGCTAAGAACTCCATCCGGCTTTGGTCCGTGGTGGAAAAAGTCGAAATCCTCACGGTGAATAATATCTGAACTGGTCCTCTGACCCATCTTCACCTGCACTGACCAGTTTGGTGAAGTATGGTCAAACAAAACCCCCATGACTGAAACAGCATGCGGAAACTTTCATCCAGCAGTGGATTGAAAAAAGGGTCACTCGAAAAAAGTATTGTAAATGTAATAGACTTAAAACGCTGCATTGAGTTATCATTTTGTTTATTAAAGTACGAAATAGAGTTACATATTTACATCACCAAACTCTCATGTGGATAAATAACCGTCGGATATTTATGCGCCACGCTCCAAGACTAAAATGTATTTGTAGCAAATACTCCCTCGTTCATACTTATTGGGTCTTTTCGGTCAAGTCATTTAGGTAAAAATATAAAATAAAATAAAAAACGAATGAAAAAACAACTAAATTAAATCACGACGTTTCGGGCGCGACACAAGCGTCCTTCTCTCGTTCAGTTCGCTGTACGCTAGACCCCACCGAACAAGCCCGGATTCTAAACGTGAACCATGGCCACACAGAAAACGAGACGACATGACAGCCAGCAACAAAGACGAACTTTCAATCACGTAACTTTATTAAATCCCAGTCATTTTAAGGACACAAAAAACCCAAACACTGATGTAGGCGGGGTCGGATTAACGCAGGGACCTTCAGGGCTGCACCCAGAGGCGCCTTGAATCCTGAGGGGTTACCGAAATATAAATCATCACCGCCAACGTTGATCAATCCACTGCTGGATGAAGACCTCCCCCCCCCCCCGCTTCATGATCCCGCGATACAACGATCTACCCAGCACCTTCACACAAATGGATTTCACGGCTCCATCTCTCTCGGCGGTCGTCCTCTCCTCGGATGCATTCCGTTCCCCGGCTGTTGTCTGTTAAACGGTTGAAGTGCAACACTTGTAGCACCGTGATGAAATCTTACAGGTACATTTTTTTGGTAATTAAAGCCATTGCAGAGCGATGGGTCATACTAATTAGCCGAGTCGCGCGTCGAAATACAATTTGCTTCATCTGAATTTTTCTATTGACAATTCGCTTGTATGTCATACGTTAAAACGCCGTAGCTAAACCAACCAAGGTGGAGCGGACGGCGTCAAAACAGTCGAGGGAAGCGAATGAACAGAGAGAGCCTTTCTCTCAATTTAGTTTTATTTTAACTCCCCCCCCCCCCCCCCCCATCAAACGTAACCAGGCCCTGCTTGTAAGTTCTCAGCAGCCGGTAGCCACGCTCGCCTGGAAGGGGCGCAACATGCTTCTGCTCTGCTTTTGCTTGGGAAAACTCACCACGTGATGCACTCAACGTCCCTCCGCACGCACGGTACGACGTCGTTTATCCGACCGTCAGCATAACTGCCCTGACGACCATGGCGCATAAAGTATGTTCTGCAGATGTCCACAAATCCTAACCTTTCCCCGCACAGTGGCGTGCCCTTAGCCTCAGCGTGCGTTCGCTTACCTCTCTAAAGCACTGCCAAGCATCTCTCCGCGTATTAAAGCAGTTTGTGCGACATTGTTTTGTCCAGGACAACCTCTTTCAACCTCTTTCAACTTGGTAACACTGAAGAGATGCGGGAGGATCGACACCAGTCCAGATTTTCCTTGCGCTTGAACAAATGCTGCTGGGTAATATTCGTCTTGAAAACAAATAGGCCAGCGGACCAAAACATATGTTCATTCATAGGCGGAGACACTCAGCGGATTTCCGTTACACACGAGAACATTTGTGCGTGGCGTATAACTGTCAGTTTCTAGAGATGGCCACACACGTACGTTGAACTTCTTTCGCAACCGTACAGAGCCAACCGTGCCCATCGGAGGTGCGACCTCTTCACGTATCAGCCGCCTACACCTCAACGCCCACCCCCACCAGCGAGCCGGACGTGCCGCGGCACGTACGCCACCGCCTGGCCCTGCGCCGCCGGTCATCGATCGTCCCTCTTCAAAAGCAACTGGCCCGCCGGCACCCGTAGAGCCACTTGATGATCCTTGCATTGCGCTCGACGACCGAGACTCGCGCCGGCGTGGGGTCCTCCCCTCCGTCGTTCTCCCCTCCGTCGTTCTCCCCTCCGTCGTGGTCGCGCCACCGCTCCGACAATCCATCGAAGTCGGGGTCGCTGGAGGAGACGCTGCTGCCGGCGCCGGCGCCGACACTGCCGCAGCCGCCACCGCAGCCGCCCCCCCCTGCCCCCACGCCGCGCAGGCTCGCGACGATTTCCCGGTCGAGGCCGCACTCGTCGAAGAACGAATCTGGCTCCGTTTTGCCGCCGGGAAAAATGAGAGAAGACGGCCTTTGCGCCGGACGTGGCTCGTCCCGTGACGCCGATCGCCGGGCCGGTCCCGGGTTGGCCTCCGCGGCCCCGTCGGTGACGTCTCCGAGATTCTCCTTCGACTCGGCGCCCGAGTCCTCCTCGTTGCCGGCCGACGGCCTGGCGTGCCTCTCCCGGCCCCCCGCCACACCCTGGAAGAGCCTCCAGATGAAGGCCACCGCGTTGCTCCTGGCGCTCGCGCCGTTGCCGCCGCAGGACGCGTCTCTCTCCGAGCCGCCACGGACGAAGCCGTCGCTCCGGCGCCGGAACGCGAGCCGGGGGTCGGACGGTGGCGGCGGCGGCGTCCTGCGCACGCCCTTGCGGCACAGGTCCTCTCGCCGGATCTGGTGCAGGTTGCCGATGGCGCTGCTCAGCATCGCCAGGTCCAAGTTGCCGGCACCGCAGCAGATACGCCCTCTCGACGCGCCGACGATGAGGCCGCCGCCGCCGGCCGCGAGCTCGACGGACGAAGGCCGGGCGACGTCGGGGCTCTTGACGTACTTGAGTCGGTCGGCTTCGAGTCGCTCGCGAACGGACATGCCGCCCTCCTGGCAGCTCCGGCGGTTCGGCCGGAAATACTCGGGCCCCTTGTTGAGAATGCGCAGGGGGACGATGGAAGACGTCGGCGACAGACGATCTCCCAGGGATCCCAGCCTCGGCTGTTGGCTGACTTCCACCGACATGACGGAAGGATGTAAAACACCAGCGCGGAGATTCCTCTCGGGCCGAAAATAAAATACAAAGGCACTCTCTGCAGCTCCCTCTACCGCAGGTCCACCAGTCAGCAGTTAGTAATTGCGGGACTGCACCTCTACCACCGCTGCAACTCTATGTTGGTTTGTGTTAGGAGTGAACTTCCTTTCCCCATTGTTTAGCTTTCTCCCTCTCGAAGTAGTTTCGTTCTTCAAGCGAGTGCTTCGTTTTTTTTGGCCTGTTAAAAAAAATAACAAGACAAGGAAAACAACATTAAGTCACAATTGTGAAAATGTAATGCTCGCTGCTGCTGCTAAGACTGCACGTGACATGCTCCCATGGCCACACTGGAGCACAGTCTGCCGCAATTGAAAATAAAAGTCACCTTACAGACAATGGATTGATACTTCTCTCCACACCTTGGTAGAGGAAGGAAGAGAGATTCGTCGGGGAAAAAACAAAACTAATGCGTCTGGCACCTAAGCAGATGCTTCGTTAATCCCTGTAAATCTCTTGCGTCTACCCTCTTGCACTTCCCCCAATGACACCATTAGAGAGTAAGAAGATTTGTACTGTGATTGGATGGGATGTACAAAGCTCGATCACAATCATCATCATCTATGAGCTACCCACTGCAGGATGAAGGCCTCCACCAAGCCCAATCCACTCCACTCCTGCCCGAGCAGCCCTCGTGGTTCCATCTCCACCGTGGACGTGCCCTCTAGGACTCGTTCCTCCCTTCGACTGGCGTTCCGTGATTAGTCTCGATCTCACTGGCCATCATCCCTCCTGGGTGCGGGTACTGCCAAGGCCACTCGTTCCTCTGAAACGATCAATGCGATGTCTAACTTGCGTACGTGCTCGAGCCCAAGTGCTCCCCTCTCTTGCTCAGCGGCGTTCCAAGCGGGCAACCCTCCTCGCTACTCTGACCGCGTTTCAGCTCTCGTCCCGTTTTCGTTCATCGATGTCCTCCGTCTGATGATCGGCCGTCCACGTCAAAGTTAACCTGAGGATGCGCAGTCTGCTTTTCAGCACTCTTTCTTTATTTAATGTTTTCTGTAGCCCGATGCGTTTGTTCCCTGCATGCGTTTTGAGCAAAACAACACTCGAACGTCGATTGCGTGTTTGTGGACTTTGCGATTGCTGTTTTACTCCGCTACAATAATTGTATACATGCAGTATGCTGCATGCGTAGGTCTGTTGAAGTCAGCTCGTGTGCAGGTGCTAGGTGGAAGTTGCATCGTGGGAGATGAGGTGGGGGTGGGTGCCTTGGGGATAGCTTCATTCAGCAGTGGGTTGACCGTGGCTCACGATAATGCCCGCGACGACGACGACGATGTGTGTTGAGATGTTTAACGGCAACAGCAGTGACACAAACAAGTGACGGCGTTGGGCAGTTTATTTACGTGGCACCGATCAGTGGCTACCAAGGCAACCTTGAGCCTCGGATTTCCGAGTTATCCAAGTGAAGATTTCCGGTGTGACTGGTGGCACCGCCCAGCGGATCTTGGACACAGGGAGGACACCGCGGATGCAACGCGCCCCTCCCAACTGGCACGTTTCTTTAATCTGACTTTAAACTGCGCTGGGCGAGGTGGAGCGGTGGCACAGTGGTTAGCGCAACTACTGCCCTCCATACTGGAAATCGAACTGTGCTTGATTCCGTAACAAGGCATGCTATCATTACCGCCCCCCCCTTCCCCCCCCGTGTATCGATAGTTAAATTGCAGTGTGTAGTTTCATTGAGGGACTGTGTTGATGTCTTGGTGTGGCCTGGGACTGTTTTTGTTGATGTTTCGCTGCCTTTCCCAAGCCTGCACTTAGTGTTGGAAAAAAAATCGGTCGGCACTTTTACTTATATTTTATGTGTGACTTTCTTACCTCGAGTTTACGCTCCTATCGTGTATTTGTATTGTTGCAACGTTCTGACCCTCCCCTACTGGACATTTGTGGAAGAAAAAAAAAGCTTTACAGCTCATCAGATTCTTCCAGGATGAGTAAACTAAATTAAAACACAGATTCTGCTCCTTGCCACACTTTCAAAATACTACTGGGAGAGCGAACATATATGTTACCATCAGTGATCATGTGTTCTCCCAACCCCTTATGGTTAGGTCAAGTTACAATGGTGCAGACAACATACGTTACGTTATTCTGAAAGACGGTGCAGGATGGGCGTTGGGGGAGGGGGCACAAATAGCAACAGGGGGCACAGAGAGTCGGCATATTCACGGAACCTATAGATCTCACGGGTAATAGGTTCGTGGATAAGAAGAGTTATTTTTCGATGTGTAAGGGAGGGGGTAGGATTAGACGGTGGTAGGAGCGTAACGAGCGTGGGGGCAGGGGGGTGCCTTGCCCCCCCCCCCCGTACCCTGGTGGCCACAGCTACAAGTTGGGGGCCGCCTTAAAAACCATCATCATATTTTTTTCAACAACAGTGTCAAAGAACAAGCAACTTATTTAAAACGCGGTTGAAATGTGTTTGGTTTGTTATGAAAACGCTTTCGTTTACGTGCCGCGTTTGATTTAAAATTTAATGAGAGCAGTGTCGTTTGGCGACCGTGCGAGACAAATCCCACATTGGGGGGCCCCCACCTGGCCGATTGCCGCACCCCCCTGAGCACACGTTAGTCACTCAGCCACTGGGCGGGTGGGAATCCTTCCTCGGACAATTGCGTCGGAGGTTACTTTTATTTATTTAACGACACCAGTCCAGCAGACGGGGGCACAACAGGGGAGAGTGGTCCCCAGTGGCGACCCGGTCTGGTGGCACGGCTGCTCCGCTTGTCGTATGGCCGATACACATCTGGTGCCACAACTGCAGTTTCACATCCAGGTGGTGAAGCCAGAGATGACCGCGTCAGGAGTATCGCACTGTATCGCTGCAACGTCTGCTTCGTATTTGCGGATCGGGCAATCGAGAAACACTTTGTATTTTGGAGTGAAAAACTTTGGCAGCCTTCGCGCGGCCCACTCTGTTAAAGGTGAGACATCTCATAAATCTCCGGGGGTCTCCAGAGCAGCAATAACGCAAGCTCAGCCCGCCTGCCTGCCACCACCACCGTAGCTGCAGGTCACATTTCGCGCGGTGCAGAAAGCGCAGCGAGCAACTTGAGGGCAAGCCCCCCCCCCCCCCCCAGCACGCGTAGTAGCAAGCAGCGCATGGGGTGGTGGTTGTGGCATGCAAATTAATCACGGGGCTGTCCCCTTCACCCCCCGCCGCCCACTTCAGTGTTGGGACTTGCCTCTTTTAAAAAATGACAAAAATGTATCCATAATGGAGGTTCTTCGGGTTAGATCGCGTATATACACTTATTAGTAAACTAGTAAGGGTTGGCTGTGGCGGGTGGTGGCGGGTTTTAACGACACGTCTATATATTTACGCGATCTAACCCAAACATGTTCTATTATTGATGATATTGGTCTCTAAATCTACGTGTTAAACTGACAAAAATATCTGTTTTGGTTGAAATGCTCTCGAGACCTGGTTTTCAACCGTGCACGAGTTGAATTGTTCATAAACGCCGGCGTTTATTTTAAATAGATTTCGCTTTTTTTTGTTGCCATCGCTCTCCCGAAACATTCGGCCTCTCGTCTCCGTAAAGCAAGATCCGCGCATTGTCATTAAATCGCGCGGTTATTGGCAATCAAAGTAAAATGCAATGCGGCGGCATTGCAGACTCCATTGCGTTTACACTTGAAAGGAAAGTTCTGCCCCCGTCTCGCCGCTCTCGGGGTGCAAGTGAGAGTTTCGTTGATTTTGTTTGACCAAGACGCGATAGAGAGAGAGCTCGTGAGGCCGCGATGTGGCGTCTCATTCGCAAGAGTGATCCGGCTCACGCTAAATGACAAAAGAAGCAACACGAAGCGCTGCACGAAGCAAAGTTCGCAATATCGCCGTGTCGCTGAGCAAAGGCATGCGCGCAGAGGGTGGCGAGCAAGCCGGCAAGCACCGAAACTAATTGTGACTACTGCACGAGGCGCATCACATCACCCTGTGGTTGAGGCAACCACAACCATCTTCTTGGTTCTCTCGGTAAAGTCACGTAGAAAGGAAGTAATAAAAGAATAAAAAGAAAACATAATAAAATAATTCTCACGACGTTTCGGCCACAACGCAAGCAGTCGTCCTGGTCTTCACCTGAGAAGGGAAGTAATACAATAATAAAAATATAACATAATAAAATAATTCTCACGACTTTTCGGCCACAACGCAAGCAGCCGTCCTGGTTTTCACATGAGGACGGCTGCTTGCGTTGTGGCCGAAACGTCGTGAGAATTATTTTAGTATGTTCTAATTTTATTATTTTATTACTTCCCTTCTACGTGACTTTTACCGAAAGAACCAAGAAGATGAATCCCTGCAATCACGAAAGCTTTAAATCGAAATTCAACCACAACCAGTTAATTCTCTAGAATTTAATCTATTTTTTTAGGAAAGTTTCTTTAAAACAGAAATGATTGTTGGGGTTAAAGTAATTGGGGGGGGGAGGGGATCACAAGACATCTGGGTCACCCTGCAGAAGCAGGACTTTACTCAGCGTCTCCACATATACGTGTACACCTAAACAAACACACGCAATGTCTGGACACGTGCCTTTTGGCTTTCCAGACCAACGCTTGATAAAGATTGCTCGAATACAGTTACAGGTTACACAAAACACAATGGCATTACTTCTTGCCATGTAGAAATAATAATAATAACAACATAGCGTAATTCATTTATAATTAATTGCATCGCACAAGCTGTACAGTAATTATATATTAGGGCCAAATCTTATTTTATAGCAACTAACCAAGCAAATTAAAAACTCTCAGAAAATAAAAATGAATACACAAAAATGCAACCAAAATGAAAGGCACAAACAACAATAAAGTTAAACTCCGCTTTGTTGTCATTCCACAAACATGTTGTAGCCCATGAGCATTGTACACCTTGCAGACCAATATTATCAAACAGCATTTGTCAAAGCAAGAACACTCTGGACAGAGCTTCTCAGTTGCGATCAGCAGAGTCGGGCTCGTTAAATGATGCTACTGCTGCTGCTGCATCACCAGATGTTATCGGTAAGAAGACCTCAATACAAAATACGAGACACCGTTGCAAACCAAAACAAATCTCAAACAACCTCATTTATAGCAACAAGCTCGGAGTCAGCTTGGAACTTACGAACAAACAAGACAAACACAAGTAAAACCGACAAAAACGACTTACTGATTGTAACTGAGAAGAGCCTACGGACTGCTGTTAACCCATCTTGGTGCGACCCCGGTTGATACGTCAACGTTTAGATGTCAAAGTCCTCAAGGTCCTCTGCAGCATTCGCAACAGCCGACAGTCGCTTCTCCAGCTCGCAAACTCATTCAAACCGTGCAGGCAGTTGAGTGGAGCTTAAGTCATGAGAACGATATCTGCGAGCCAATGGGGAGCTGGGAAAGCCGCCCATCTGGCCGAAACTTCTCCCTCCTCCCTCCTCCTCCTCCCATGAGATCATTGTTTGCAGACGCCCAGCTTCCTGTAAAGATAACAACATCTGTTGTCCCGCAGAACTAGCTTGGCAGCGGGCCGTATATTTACACAAGTGGTGTATTGTGTCCCCTGATCCGTGGTTTGAAGAGTGGGGCATTTGTTTAAATGTAAACAATAACAAAAAAAACCTGTTTGAATTTAGTGAAATGGGAAACATTATTGGCCACCTCGTTTAAAAAAATTGAAACAAGGATACATTTTATAATTACACGTGTCTTCTGACTAGAACTTATCATGCTAAACGATGACACTTTTTGTAAGTACGCATTTCTGAAGTTGTGCGTTCGATTAAAATGTGCACGCCAAGCTGATGTGTATTTGCTGCCATCCGCTGCTAACCCTAATTGTTTGTACCGAGACGACGTTCATTATGGTGTTCGAAAAACTTCAGAAAACACTCGTTACTCAGCAGGGAAAATCAATAGCGTCATATTACCATACAAACGAGATCCGAGCGGTTGGGCTCTCTGGCTTTTTGCGATTGTGTCATAAGGTTTGTGCCACGTGTCGTTTGGCACGATGTCAGACGTTTCGCTCAACGTGCTCTGAACTTTCTTCAGGATCTTTCATTTCAGCTCCCGAAAGACGCTTCCAGCACATGGAGTGAAACGTCGGACCATCATAGCTGTCAACCCATCACGGTTTACTCCGTATTCTTATACAGGGAAAGTGAGTTTTCAGGTCCATACGGGCAAACATTTTTTAAAAATATATTTGTTTGTGTCTCTCCCTTGTGATGGGACTTTGTCGGATTATTTATTAGGGCACGGGGTGACCAATAAGGCTTGAAGAATTGGTCTGTAATAAGGCAGGGCACTGATAAGCCGGAACAAAACACATTATCAGAAGCTATCAGAGGTGTATGGCCGATTGGTTATGTAAACAATGCTAAAGTATGTCCACGAATGAGAGCCAGGAGTCACGACTGACTAATCACTCAACATCCGGCGTCAACTAAATGACAGACTTTCTGCAGCGTCAGTGAAAGGTCGGCTAACGACGAAATCACAAAGAATGCGCCCGATCTCGTCACGCTCTAAGAAGCGATTAGAATCGGAAATTGTATTTATACTGGAGGAATCCGATGAGCTATAGAGTTCTTTGTTTCACAGATGCCCACGAGGGGAGGGTCAGAACGTTGCAGCACCGAGCCCTGGATAATGCTTGGAACAGGCGACTACTTTGTACGCAAGAGTTTTTCCGCAGAGCCGCGTGCTACGCTGAAAGCAGCAAAGGCCGGTGCATCAAATTTATTGTTGTGCTGTACTTCTAAGCCCCCACGATTATGCTCCCTGGCTTCACCAACCCGCACTCGCCAGCGTGGTGGTGAAATATGGTCAAGGAAACCCCCGTACGACATGAGATGGGTCTCACCCAGCAGCGGATTGGTTGGACAGTACTTACGCAGCTGATGCATGCGAGCAATGGAACTGTTTACTATCGCGCACCGCTCAAGGCTCACAAGCATATCATTAATCACACGTTCACTGTGCTGCCTTGCAGTGGCTGAAAGCTTCCGCGGCCCTCTGTGTACCCAAGCTCTTGCTTGTGCAGCTGCTGGGGTACGAATTCAACAGGCAATGACATTCAGCCCCACTCTCTGCATTGAACCGTGGCCAAAGAAGTCACAATGAGCACGAGAGTTCCTTCCCAATGTCTCGTTTAGTCGTGCTTGAGCGGAGCCACACAGATGTCTCTGTTGACCCAGCAGCTGCCTCACCCTTGCCGCTTAACAGCGAAAGGTCGCGTTGGTAAACGCGACGTCTGGCTGCGCTGGGCAACTGCTTCGCACCCATCTATGCGCAAGGACACAGCTATCAAAATTGATACACGCCCGGGAATTGGTCAGCTTTGGCTTCTCCGATGCGTTCATATTGGGGTCGTGCCACGCGTTGTTCGGCACGATGTCCGATAGACATGCACGGCCACAGAGCTGAACGGCCACAACCGCGCAAGCCTACGCAGTACAAAAATACAAACTGCTGTTCGCGTAGGAACGAGACGCGTGGCGCAAAGTGTGTGGCTTTAATTATTGCGCATGGCAGCAATATGTTCAGGAGCGAAATGCCGGTGTCGACGAGGCGGCGTCAAAGGGAGCGTTCGTGTAGTTTTGTGTGGACGCTGTATGCAGGTTGGACATCTGTTGCACCGTACGTAGCCAACCGTGCTACAGATACCTCTGTCGACACGGCAGCTGCCTGACCCTTGCCACTTCCTCCGTTGAAGGACTGCAGGCTGCAGTTGTTTACTATAGGGCCCAATAGATTGAGTTACATCACCACAAACAGCGAGCTGTTTAATTCGTGCGATGCCAATATTCATTGGGTAGTTGTTTTGTGTTCTTCCCTTGTTTGAATACACAAAACTCACTTGGCCACGGAGCAGGTTTGTTTCATTGCGTCAACACAGAGGCGCTCCAGATGCTACTCAACAACAGAGGCCGGTCTTCCCATCTTCCCAGCGTTGCCCCCATTCCTCCCCGTCCAACATAAACACGGCAGTGCCCCCCCCACCCACCCCGCCCGCCCGCCTGTCACCCCCTCCTCTCTTCCTCGTTCACCTCCTCGCGCTCATTCCTGCGTAATCATCACCCTCATCACTATCTCCTTCTCCCCAGAGAGAGGGGAGCCTCGGGGAAACTCCCACCCCGCCTCACCATCACCACCACCACCGCCACCGCACTCCCCAGGAGAAAATTACACACTCCATAGCCTCCGTGGGAGTCACCACAATCATCTCACTTACATCAAGCGCCTGAGAGTGTCCGTCGCGACCCAACCCCGCAATTACTCCCCGGAATTAAATAAAAAAACACCGTGCCGGTTGTGGGTTTTTTCCATATTCTGGCCTGCCGTGTCTTTTTTTTATTTCACTGTAGCAACGCCCGTGGTGAGAAACTCTCCGTCCTGTCATTAACTCACCGTGCACAGGGAGGTCAGGATGCTGCCCTGGTGGCATGAATAGTTCGCAAACGGTGAGACTTGCAGCAATCGTCAGGTCTCAAATAACGCGCCAAAAAGACGTGCACCATACAAAAATGTCCACCCCCCATAACCTCGTGCATTCTACACACATACTTACACACACATTCTACACACACACAAACACACACACAAACACACACACAAACACACGCACATTCTACACACACACAAACACACATATTCTACACACACACTTACACACACATTCTACAAAGACAAAGACAAAGATCCCCCGTATAGCCTTAACAGACTGTAGGGGCAAGTGCTGTTAGCGAGCACCTATGAAGGCCGGAACGGTACACGAAGGGGTGGGTGGCCAGCACCACGCCCGACCGCTTTTGTCTCCCTAGTGGCAATGTTTACACCGCACTAGGTACTCATTTGAGGCTGAGTCGACCTAGGGGAGGCCCGGGACCGGTTCAGATAATCGTCACTGGTGTTGGCCGTGAGCGGGAATCGAACTGGTGACTGGGTTCATCGCGAAGCGTGCTAACCGCTACACTATCGCTCCCCATACACACTGACACAAACACACACATTCTACACACACAAACACACACATTCTACACACACACATTCTACACACACACATACAAACACACACACACACTAAACACACATTCTACACACACACACAAACACACACCAACACACACACATTCTACGCACACACACAAACACACACACACAAACACACACATTCTACACACACACACATTATACACACTACACACACATTCTACACACAAAACACGAACAATCACCAAGTTCCTGGAGAAGTGCATTGTCGGCTCTCTTGTTTTAGGGCACCAATCCGGAGTTCGCGCGGCTCGATTCGATCTCCCGGTGCGGCACTCGAAGCGAAGTTTTCACGTGTCTTAAACGCCTCTCGCACACCCCTCCGATTACCTCGCGGTTGACTACGTGCCGTTCGATGATACCGGCGGCAGCTGCGATAATTGCCACTTGCCAGCTTTTCGCAGAGAAAGAGAGAGAGATCGTAGCTGCTCAAACATGCAAATGAATTCTAGATTTGAAGCTTTCGTGACTGCAAGGATTCATATTCTTAGGTTTTTTTCGGTAAAGTCACGTAGGTAAAAAATTAAAATTAAAATCAACGTCGTGATTTTTATTTTATTTTTATTTTACTTTTATTAATTTAATGTTTTATTTTTTTACCTACGTGACTTTACCGAAAAAACCTAAGAATATGCAAATTAATGTTTCTTGTGTGGTTGGGCAAGCGCAGTTGGCTGGCGAAGGCAAATAGAAGCAACAGTTTGCCCGATTTCACTGCCTGGTGTTAGGGGCGAGATTCGCTCATCCATGCAAATAGCCCCGCAATAGATCGGCCTTGCAAGCCCCCACCCCTGTTGAGTCAGAGCCACAGTCTGGCTTATCGGTACGAGCGAGAGTAGCGATTGACCACCGATGACTTTATTTTTTTACTGGTGGATTAAACCTCTGTGATCACAGTTCTCTACGATAGCGATGTCACCGCGGTAGCTACAGAAACAAACATCGTCATCGGAATATTGTTTTGGCTAAAAATGAATACGACGTGATCCACGTGCAAAAATGACAATATTAAGTGTGTCTGTGAAACAGATACTACATAGCCTCGGCTGTTGTGCCTATGGTGGCTACTGCCCTATGGGTTCGGGGGGGGGGGGGTACACTACCAGCATTTGCCACCCCAGGTGTTACCGACCAACCCCCGTGGCTCGTGGTCTTTTGTTATTAGGCGGGGCAGAGTTTGCCGGGAGCCATCGGTTGCTGCTGAAAGGGTGATCACTGGAAAGAACACTCCCCTGGGCTTCCTGCACCGAGCTGTTGGGACAATTGCGGGGGCCTTTTCGTGTGTGCGTGACA